CACTATTAACTAGTTGCTTATTAGCATGCATATTATTAACATATTTTTTAATGAAATTTAAAAAAAATTTTTTATTGTAATTATTTTTTATTAAATCTGCATATCTTATGTGGATGCTACGGATTGCACAAAATAAATGTTTAAACAATTTGCATTGCATAAAGTAAAGTGTTTTTTAGAATTATTATTCTCAATACTTTCTCATTATGGTCATTTTTATTTTTTTTGGATTTTTTTTACATTTAATCTGCAGTGGGTGCTACACATTGCCATGATTTAAATAACATTTAATAGAACTATATGATTCTTATTACTCTCAAAAGGTTCTCATTATTGTAATTTCTAACTTAAAACTATTTCTTTTAGTTATAAAGCTGCATAGGCTGGATTGGCAAATCAAAAATATTAACAATTTGCATTGCATTAATTCTAAAGAAAATGTGTTTCATTTTTACAGAAATAATATCACATTTTCGTCACAGTTAAATGCATAAAGAGGTTGTAAAATAGGCTTAGTTTATATAATATAATATATATATTTTTTCCTTTTGATTTTGGAGTGATTTGTGCAGTGGTAGAGTTTGTTGTAGTGCTACCAGTGCTGTTGTACAGGTGGAAACAGATCGGCTCCAGATGTTCTGAGTGTCTCGTTGCATCAGTGTTGTTCAGATCTGCCAACCGGATGAATCTGATCATGATTGTTTGGGTATGAAGGCATAAGCGTATATAAACACACGAGGCTTGGGGTAAATGTGTGTGTTTGGTCTAAATCAGAACAGACCGTGTTCTAGATGATCTGTGTGTGTGCTGGGATTCAAATCAAGACTGGATTTATTGTGTTCAGATTGTGTCATTAAGGATCATCAGGGAATTTGTCTGATTGCAAACGGCTCGTTTGTACATGTGAAAGGGTTTAATGTGGAGTTTATACTACATGATCGTCCATTTGTAAAATATTTAATTCACTGGATTATGGACAAAATGCTCTCGCTCTCTATATGTGTGTGTGTGTGTGTGTGTGTGTTCACAACAAATGCAATGCTATTTTTAAACTATTTATATTTCTAAAATAAAATATGTAAATTGTGGCAATGTGTAGTACCAACTTGTAAAAAAAGCTTATAAAATTATAATAAAAAATTATAAAAATAAAAATTGCAATGATGTAACCTGTTGAGTAAGAGTTATTAAAACAATTTAGCAATTAATGTGATGCAATTTTTTGAAAAATATTTCTTATTATTCTCAAAACATTCTTATTATTATAATTTGTTTATTTAAATTATTAATTGAAATTTTTAAACTTAATTGTTTTTCCTTTTTAAATCCGTAATTTAGATTAAAATTCAATGACTTGTTTTTAAATCAATTCATCTATTGCTTTCTTCTGATTTGTCTCTCATTAGGAGAATTATCCATCATTGCTTAAAGAGTATTTCTGTTACTGCAAAAGCACAAACATCCTATAGCAACAGAACAAAGAAAAATAAAATGCATTAAACAAATACAAATTGTGTTGTTATTGCAAAAAGGGCATTGCATTTGTGCGTTTACTAGGCTATTAGGCACGTTTGTTTTTCACACGTGTGGTTGTTTGCAGGTCAGGGCTTATGGACCAGGACTGGAGAAGTCTGGCTGTGTCATAAACAAACCTGCTGAGTTCACCGTCGAGGCCAAAGATGCCGGAAACGGACCGCTGGAAATCATCGCACAGGTTCGGCCGAGCATCAGCTAATAAATGTGAGCGACACACACCAGTCTGAACTGAACTCACCCATGTTGCGTTTGACTTCATTTGTTTTCCCAGGATGCAGATGGAGTCCCCATCGACGTGAAGGTGAAGAGCAAAGGGGATAACGTGTATTCCTGCTCGTACACGCCGACCTCAGCCATCAAGCACACGCTGGCCGTGACCTGGGGAGGCGTCAGTGTTCCCAACAGCCCCTTCAGGGTAAGAGCGACCGAGAAGGAGCCTTCAGCTGTCAGTACTAACACACTAGAGCGACTAATCACACTAACTACAGCTGATGCTCTTAACACTTCACCAGCCCAATATAAACCGGTCATCATCATAACCACCTCCGTTATGGAGCGCCGCTGCTATACTGTCAGATCATTTCAGCTGTTCGCTTTGAGTTTAATGCGGAATATGAGAGATTGCATTGGTGATATGGCTTTAGGGAATGAAACGGCAAAATGCACATTGTTTTACAAAATGTTTAGTTGATTCGTTTGAAATTGCATTGCATGTTTCTTAAGATTAGTAGGGTGAGCAAAAGCATTGTATTTTGTTTTCAAAAACTCATATCAAATTTAATGCATATTATTTTTAATCAATTAGTTTTCTTCTGTTTTTTTTCTAATTAAGAGAATTATCCATCATTGCTTAGAGTATTTCTGTTCATGTAAAAGCACAAAATCCAAATACATTTCAGTATGTTTGTAACATTAAGTGATTTTTAAATGTTTCCAAAGATTTTGCACAGTATGAACTTGTATTAGATTATAATGTTATACGCTGACAGCTTTGACTGCAAAATGGTGATTTGTGGTGCTTTTTCCAGAAGTTAAAAAAGAAAAAATATTCTCAAACTTGAGCAAATATTTAATATAGAACTAACTTATTTATATTCACTAATAAAGAATGAAGGCCAAAATAAGTTTGACTGAATTAATATTAGTATTTGTTAAATGCACACATGAATTGAAGCATTATTCCATTATATAAACAAAGTTTAGAGTAAACCTTTACTCATACGTCACTCTGTATTCATGCTTTTGTGGTCCTTGCAGTCCATTTCACAAAACAAACTCACTGCACAGTTTTAAAGAATGCAGCTTGCTTTTACTTGACTGATCATGCAAACACTTCACAATGTCAAACTCTGGAAAAATGCAGCTTTCGAACTGAGTACTAACATGTTTATATTTACAGAAGGGAAAAAAGGGGTCTTTTCGTTTACTTTTATGCAATAAGGGTTTGATTTAAAAATGTTGCATTTAATAAATTCTATTACTAAATGTTTGAATGTTTGTTGTGTGTGATTTATGTGAGTTTGTGTTTATTTGCATGTTCCTGGTTATCTTGGAAAAATAACTCATTTGTTAACTCTTCAAATCTTCAATAATCCTTTCTGCACTCTGAAAATGCATCAGATGTTTTTAGGCTTGCTTTGCATTGTTTTTTATTCTCTCAGAATGTGCAATGAAGTCTGCATTACTTGCTGTCATTAACATTCAGGAGGCTTTATTCCATTAGGTGAATGTCGGAAAGGGAAGCCACCCTCACAAAGTCAAGGTGTTTGGGCCAGGAGTGGAGAGAAGCGGACTGAAGGCTCATGAACCGACGCACTTCACCGTAGACTGCACTGAAGCTGGAGAAGGTAATGCGCGTTTACTGCATTCACTAAATTCAGTGCTATTTCATGTGAGTTACACATGGTGTGTCTTGTGTTGGTGGTTCTTCAGGTGACGTCAGTGTCGGTATCAAGTGTGACGCTAATGTTATCAGTGATCAGGAAGAGGATGTTGATTTTGACATTATTCCCAATGCCAATGACACCATCACTGTCAAATACATTCCTCCTGGAGCGGGACGCCTCACGATCAAAGTGCTTTTTACTGAACAAGTGAGTGACTACCATAGGGATATGTAGAAAACATGATCATTTTCCAGTCTTTGGAAATATGGTGTTTTCATTTTAAATGATTATTTCAGGGCATTCCATGTTAAAGTATCATAAATGTATTCTTTTTTTTTATTCAATTTTGTTTATATTTATTTAATACTCATTTATTTTTCAAATGTATTAGAAAATCATGTTATAATTTTATTTAAAACTATTTATATTTAAATGCAAGATACAATTGGATGGTCAGAACGATTCTGTTATCATTTTATTTTATTTATTTATTTGTTTTTGTTTATTTTATTTTAAATTTGCCATCCAGGTGGATAAAACTAATTGAATGTCATAAATGTATTTGTTTTTATTTATTATTATTTGAAGATATTTATTTTAATGAATTCAAAATCCAAGCGGATTGAAAATCATGTCATAAATGTATTTATTTATTTTATTTATTTATTTAAAGCCATTATTTAAATTCAAAATCCAGGCCAATTGGATAATTGTATGTCAGTTTTATTTTTTTATATATTTTTTAAGCTATTTATTTATTTTAATTAAAAAAAGAATTCAAGTCAATTGAAAAATTATGTTGTAGTTTTTATTTCATTTATTTAGTTTCTGATATTTTATTCATATTTTAATGCAAGATCCAAAATGATGGCCCTGACAATATTATTATTCATTCATTCATTCATGCATTTTAATCCAAGAAAATATGATTTTAAATGATCCGTTTCAGGAAATCCCGGTCAGTCCGTTCCGTGTTAAAGTGGATCCCTCACATGACGCCTCCAAAGTGAAAGCAGAGGGACCAGGGCTCGCCCGAGCAGGTGTTTTGTCTGGTTTGATGATAAATGGTTTGACCTTATCAAGAATCTGGGTTTAATTTGATGACTTTTGAGTCTCATTGAGTTAATTTTTCCCATGCTGTATCTTTGTACCATCAGGTGTGGAGAGTGGAAAACCAACACACTTCACTGTTTACACCAAAGGAGCTGGCAAAGCTCCGCTGGACGTGCAGTTTTCTGGACCTAATAAAGGACAGCCCGTTCAAGACTTTGAGATCATTGACAACTATGACTATTCCCACACTGTCAAATACACACCGCTCCAGCAGGTAGGGATCTGCAATGGAGAAACACACATTTAAAAGCAGTTCAAGGATTTCAGATTGGTGAAAGGGACATCTTTTATTATTTATCTTCTGGCATCATCATTCTGCTTTGCTGTACCAATTCAGGGAGAGATGGTGTTAACAGTGACCTTCGGTGGAGACCCTATTTCTAAAAGCCCCTTCGCTGTGGGTGTAACGGCTCCGCTGGACCTTAGCAAGATCCAAGTGGATGGCCTGGAAAATCGTATGTCATTTAAAAAAAAGATATCATTTATTCTTTCATTCTATGTACATTTTAATTCAAGTTTCAGTGAATGGCCTGGAAAATTTTGCATTTTGTTTATTTTAATTTTAGACAATCTTATGTTTATTTATTTATTAAACAATTTATTTATTGAATGGCCTGTTTTGTTTTATGCAATGCTATGTTATTTAATTATTTATTTAATAAATATTTAAATGTTACTCCAAGGTCCAATTGGGTGGCCTGGAAAGCTGTGTTTTTATTTTTATTTTATTTTAAGAAATATTTATGTTTAATAATAAATATCTCCATTTTAATCCAAGTTTCAGTGGATGGCTTGGATATTTGTGTATTTATTTAAATTATTAATTAATTTATTTATTTATTTTCGTTTTGGATAATCCTTTATTTATTTATATATTTATTTATTGGAGCCTGGAAAGCTGTGTTTTTATTTTTATTTTATTTTAAGAAATATTTATGTTTAATAATAAATATCTCCATTTTAATCCAAGTTTCAGTGGATGGCTTGGATATTTGTGTATTTATTTAAATTATTAATTTATTTATTTATTTATTTTCGTTTTGGATAATCCTTTATTTATTTATTTATATATTTATTTATTGGATGGCCTGTTATTTTATGTAGTCCTGTTATTTTATTTATTTATTTAAAATATTTATATGAATATTTTTATATTTAATAATACATATTTAAATGTTAATCCCAGGTCTTACTGGATTGCCTGGAAAATGTATTTGTTTGTTTGTTTAAATCCAAAATCAAAGTGTATGGCTTGGAAAACTGACACATACATGTATACATACATACATAAATACATTTTATTTATTTATTTATTTATTTTAGGTAGTTATTTAACAATTTTTGTATAAGTGGTTTTATTTTAATTAATTTATTTAATTTTGTATTTGTTTTATTCAACAATAAACAGAAGTTAATGTAATTTTATTTTAAAATGTAGTCATTTTAAAGGTTGCTTAAAATTTTGTAGTAATTTTATTTGAATTAATATCAATTTTTAATTTTTTGCTTTTAAAAACAAAACCCCATGTAATGTTTTATTCCAGGTGTGCAAGTGGGCGAGGATCAAGAGTTTGCTATTGGTACAAGAGGAGCAGGCGGACAGGGCAAACTTGAAGTCAAGATCACCAGCCCCTCGGGGATGTCCGTGCCCTGCGTGGTTGAGCCTCAACCAGGTAAAGGAGCCAGTCTAGTGAAGTACATCCCCAAAGAGGAGGGCGTTTACGTGGTGGAGGTTGTCTACGATGGCAATCCCGTGCCAGGAAGCCCTTTCCCAGTTGAAGCCATGCTGCCTCCTGATCCCAGCAAGGTATGTTGAAGCAAAACTGATTTGACTTCATTTAGAAGAGATCATAACTTAGTGGTTCTGTCTGTGCAGGTCAAAGCGTTCGGTCCAGGATTGAAAGGTGGTCTTGTAGCAAGTCCAGCTGAGTTTAACATTGACACCAAGGGCGCTGGAACCGGTGGCCTCGGTCTAACCGTCGAGGGTCCGACCGAAGCCAAAATCGAGTGCTCTGACAACGGCGATGGCACCTGCTCTGTGTCGTACCTCCCCACCGAACCCGGAGAGTATCTAGTCAACATTCTCTTCGAGGACGTCCATATTCCCGGCTCGCCCTTCCACGCAGACATCCAATATCCGTTTGATCCCACCAAAGTGGTGGCATCCGGATCCGGGCTGAAACGAGGCAAAGTAGGCGAGATCAGTGTGCTGAACGTCGACTGCGCCAAAGCTGGACCGGGCCAGTTAACGCTGGAGGCCGAGCCTGACTCTGGAGCCAAAGCCAAGACTGAAGTTCTGGACAACAAGGACGGGACCTACACGGTCACCTACGTCCCGCTGACGGCCGGTATGTACACACTGCTGCTGAAGTACGGAGGAAAGACTGTCCCCAACTTCCCCGCCAAAGTGACTGTGGATCCGGCTGTTGATACCAGCAAAGTGAAGGTGTTTGGACCAGGAGTTGCAGGAGAAGGTATTGACATAAACATCAAGAGAAAACACCATTTTATGTTCACTTTTAACCACTGGTATTGTTCATTTGGGAGTCACACTTGTGTTGTTCGCGGTCAAAACTGACCGGAGGCCATAATTGTGTGATAATTTTATTTTTGTGAGATGAATATACTGTTTCATTTCAATAATGTCAAGAGAAAAAATAAAGAAAATCATCTATAATACCAGGGTGTAGCCATTAGATGCCTGTATAGTAGGGCTGCACAATTAATCTAAATTAAATCGCAAAGGCAATAAATCACGATTAGGCAGAAGCTGCGATTGTCATGCATATCTTTCAATGAAGCACAGTTCTGTGATCAGTAGTAAATCTCCATCCGAAGGCCAGAGGCCGCTCTCGCTCTGAAAATGCAAATATCCCCCGAAGAAGAAATCCAGGAAATGCCTATCGCTGCAGCTGAATAAACAGAAGATTTAACTGCTTTCATTGATTCAACGTGGTTTATCTGAGTTTTTATTATTATAATTTTCATCGTAATAAAGTATATCTATAATGAAATGCTAATCGACATAGCCTTAATCACTGCTTAGAATACAATTATATATTGTGTGTCTTAATTATTCTGTTTAAGGAGCCATATCATCTCACAGAAGGATTTATTTCAAGCACTCGACTGACGTTATGAAGTGAGCTTGGAGTAAAAACATGTTATTAAATGTGGTATTTTCACGTGCTCTCAGATGGAGCAGCATTTACTACACAGAGCCGTGGTTTACTGAGAAGACACGCAAACAGCTGTCATTATCGCGAACAATTTCGTCGATTTCATAATCCTATGATTATATCGTCTGCTATTATAAACTCGATTTTGCATAGCTTTTCAGAGAACTACGACTCTGTGTAGTAAATGCTGCTCCATCTGAAAGCACGTGATGGAGATTTACTGCTAATCACAGAACCGGCTTTACTGACAATGTGCATGACAATCGCGATGAATCGCGTTCGATTAATCGCGCAGCCCTACTGTATAGTCCTATATTTTCAGAGCTGTGCATTCCTTAGTTACTCAGCAGTGTTTTCAGGCATAATTGCTTAACTTTTGTCATCCCTTCGTCGTTGTGCACTTTTTCTCTGCATTGTGGCTGATTTGTAGATTGTACACACAAAAACATCTCTGTATTTTCATATTTTTGCTTATTTCTCATTCATTTCATATAGGTAATTTTTGACCACAAACGCCACAAGTGTGGCTATTTCTTTTACACCCATTTAGCTTTTTCGAATTAAGTCCATCATTTTGGGGAGGGGTCACATAGCGAGTAGCGACTGCCGTAAAGGTCATGGCGTTTCATACTATTTCAATGAAGTAGCAATTTTCCAAACTTTTTTTTTTGGTCTAAAATGACCGAACAACACCAGAGGGTTAAGGATGAATGCATCTTGTAGGCAATTTTGCTTGATTTTTGCCTTCCATGATTTCTATAACCTTCTTACCATTCCTTTTTCTTGTAACCAATGGAAAAGCATCTGAAAATGTGTTTTTCTGTATGCTTTATCTTCATGATATTGGTTTACTTGATTTCTGGAGACTTTTCATTTTGGTTTCGTAACAAAATCTATTTGAAAAGATGTTGTTTTGCAGGCCCTGCATGTGTTGTCATGCTCTAAATGGTGTAATCCTTCAGTGCAAGATGGCCCTGAAAACCAATTTTGCTGAAAGTTGAATTAATTAAAAGGCAGTGACATTTTTATAGAGGAGATGCATAGTTTTGTGAAACATTTTCAGTGTTAGTGTATGCTTTTCCTCTCTGCTCTGCAGGAGTTTTCAGGGAGGCCACCACTGACTTCACTGTGGATGCACGAGCTCTGACCAAAGTTGGTGGGAAACACATAAAAGCTCATGTGAAGAACCCGTCAGGTGCTGCTACAGACTGTGTTATTAGTGACAACGGTGATGGGACTTATAACGTGGAATACACACCGTTTGAGAATGGTACGATGCACAACATCCTACTTAAATGCCCTGAAAATCGTATGTTAGAATTGTATTTGATTTATTTATTTTCTAATCCAATTGGATGGCTTGGACAATCCTATGTTTTTATTTATTTATTTATTAATTATACAAGGTCCAATTGGGGTTTACATTACATTCATGCACTTGGCAGACGTTTTTATCCAAAGCGATAAGCTGAATGTAATGCAAGCTATATGTTTTATCAGTGCATTCAATCTCTGAGAATTTAACCCGCAAACTTTATAACAGGCCTCTGCCGGTCCTGTAGAGCCACAGTCCTGCAGAGCCTCCAACCCTAATCAAACACACTTGAACAAGCTAAGAAAGGTCTTTAGAGTTACTAGAAAGCAACATGCAGGTGAGTTTTTATCAAGATTTGAGCAAAACTCTGCAGGACTGTGGCTCTCCAGGACTGATGTTGGCCACCGCTGATCTACTGTTTGAGATACGGGAGCGCTACAGGTTTCATCTTGCACTTGTGTATTTTGAAGAACAGCAATAAAGCTTGCTAGAAAATATTGCTAATTTAGCAAGATTTATGAGGTGACAGGCTCGTTATCAGCGGCAGCACGACCATGTCTGATTAAGGCAAGATGCTACAGGAGAGACCATTGCTTTTCTTTCTTGCAAGCTGAGTGTGATTCTTCTGTCTGCTCGCCGCAGGAGTCCACAGTGTGGAGGTTCTGTACGATGACACTCCTGTTCAAAAGAGTCCGTTCCAGGTCGGGGTGGGTGAGGGCTGTGACCCCTCACGTGTGCAGGCCAAGGGCCCGGGTCTGGAAGAAGCACTGACTGACAAACCCAACAAGTTCTCCATCGTCACCAGGTGAAAGTGCTTCACAAATCATACTGTACATTTGTCATTTCATTTAACCGTTAGATTTACCTGCACTATACCGCTCAAAAGTTGGGGTCAGTAATTAAAAAAAAAAATTTTTTTTAAAGAAATTATTACTTTTATTCTTCAAGGATGGAATAAATTGATCAAAAGTGACAGTAAAGTAATTAATAGTGTTACAAATAATGTTTACAAATAATGTTTTATTTCTGTTCATCAAAGCACAACTGTTTTCAACATTGATGATCCGAAATAATAATTAGATATTGATAATTAGAATAATTCGTAATAAGAATGATTTCTGAAGGATCATGTGACACTGGAGTAATGATGCTGAAAATTCAGCTTTGATCACAGAAATAAATTACTCTTTAAAACATTCACATAGAAAACAGCATTTGAACAACATTTGAAATCAGTGTTATAGTTTTTTTTTTTTATTATTGATTTTCCATAAACTGCAAATCACAATAGACAAAGACATCAACAACATTCATTAATTTGGAGCTTAAGAAAAGAAAGAACAAAAACAAGTAGAGCGAAAGAAAGAAAACCGCTCAAATATCCAAATTTCAACATATTGGTAAAAGTTCTCATCATACAGAAGTTTTCATCCATGAAATTCAAACAGCATAATATTGGCAATCCCAGGGTCCAAATAATTTACTAATGGTTCCCGTACTTTGTAGAAAAGGTCCGTCTTTGAATCAATTATAAGGTATTCCAGTGCTAATAGCTCCATTAACACTTTTTGCCAGTGTTATTATAGTTAACTAAAACATTTTCATGGCCTGAAATAAAATAAGATAAATAAACAAAAACCTTACCTTATTTTATAAACTTATTTGAGAACACTAAATGAAAATGAGATAAAATAAAATTAATAAAAACTACACAAACATATTTAATAGTGCTGTCAAACGATTAATCGTGATTAATCGCATCCAAAATACGTTTTTGTATGCGATTAATCATTTGACAGCACTAATATTTAACAAAAACACAAACACAATGGCTACATTTACATATTACTAAAACTTTAAAGTTAAAATTAAAGCAAAAAATGTAAAAATAAAAACTCATTCAAAATAATAAAAACTATAATGCTAATATAACACTAATATTTTAATTTTAATGTTTTATTTATGTTTACTGTTTTTGATTTAAATGAGCATGAGGCTTCTTTCAAAAACATAAAAAAATCTCATCAACCCCAAACTTTTGAACATTAGTGGAGACCTTGTTCTGTACTCTATCAAGAACATAAATATACTAAAATGACCACTTGAGCTGTCTTTTGATCCGTACAGAGGAGCTGGTATCGGTGGATTGGGAATAACCGTGGAAGGTCCGTCTGAGTCGAAGATGTCCTGCAAAGATAACAAAGACGGCAGCTGTAATGTGGAATACACCCCGTATGTGCCTGGTCTGTATGACGTCAACATCACGTATGGAGGACAGCACATTCCCGGTACGTGAAACGGATTTATTTTTTATCCCCAATACACCACTTAAAGCTCAGAAGCAGCCTGAAGAAAGCATTACTGGAGCTTTGAGAGATGCAACCTGACATGTTTTTAACCAGAGTCCCAGTTTTCTTGAATTGTGGCAAACATTTTTCATTAGCGTTACGCCTGGGATACAAGATCTCGTGGATCTGAGGAGAGCAGCTACTGCATTCTCACTGCTGGACATTACGAGCTCGCGTTTCATTGAAAACATTCACCGCCAAGACCACAGTGCACGATTCTCCCACACAAACGCCGCTTCCAGATTGTTTAAATCAAGTCTATAGAAGCTGCTAGAGCAATATTTCAGAGAGTCATTGAGTTATCAGACTACAGGCTTGTGGAAACAAAATCCAAACTCACTCAGAATACTTAAGAAACTGCATAGCAATGAATAAAACATGCTAGCATTGTGACAGCCTGTTTCTACAACCGAGAGTATATGTGACCCTGGACCACAAAACCAGTCATAAGGGTCAATTTTTCGAAATTGAGATTTTTACATCATATGAAAGCTGAATAAAAAAGCTTTCCATTGATGTATGGTTTGTTAGGATAGGACAATATTTGGTTGAGGTACAACTATTTGAAAATCTGGAATCTGAGAGTGCAAAAAAATCTAAATACTGAGAAAATCGCCTTTAAAGTTGTCCAAATGAAGTTCTTAGCAATACATATTACTAATCAAAAATTAAGTTTTAATATATATACAGTAGGAAATTTACAAAATATTTTCATGGAACATGATCTTTACTTAATATCCTAATGATTTTTGGCATAAAAGAAATATCAATAATTTTTACCCATACAATGTATTGTTGGCTATTGCTACAAATATACCCCAGCGACTTAACACTGCTTTTGTGCTCCAGGCTCACATATACAAATCTTATTTGAGTTGTCATTATTGGCTTGTTTTTAACTTGTCATTGACTTCCTGTGTCTTGGGTGTTAATCTTATTTATCCGCCGTTTCTTATAATGGCTCGGTTTGAATTGCGTTAGCATGCATGGAGGCACTAGTCAGTGTCTGAATGTAAAGGTCTTTATCTCTGTTTGTGTTATAGGAAGCCCATTTAAAGTGCCAGTGAAGGATGTTGTTGACTGCAGTAAGGTGAAGATCTCTGGGCCTGGTGTCGGTTCTGGAGTGAGAGCTAAAATCCCACAATCCTTCACTGTGGACTGCAGTAAAGCTGGTGTCGCTCCTCTCTCTGTGGCTGTGACTGGACCTAAAGGTAAAAATGCATTTACATAAGGCTCGTGCATTACACTGATTTTATTTTTCCCCATTTTGTTGGGCTTATTTATTTAGGGGCTTTAGTTTTTTTTTACTGAAATAAATATTTGCATGATGCATAGTATATATGTAAACAATTATTTATTTATTTATTTTAGGTTTTTTGTTCTGAATGAAATACATACTGCAGAGTATGTAGACATTTTATTTATTTATTTTAATTCATGGGAATTTGTTTTATTTTGTTCTGAATTATATACTAGCATACTTTTTAAATATTAGCATGCGTAAACACTTATGAATTAATATTCACTAATTTCTTTATATTCATTCTTTTTTTGCGTCCGTAAATAATAGCATACTGCACGGTATATAGTTAAATTTTGTATGTATGTATTTATTTATCATTCATTCATTTATAAAAAAAATTTTTTTTTGCCTTTTTCTGAATTAAATAATAGCATGCTGCACAGTATATACTTAAGCATTTATTTAGTTATTTATATGAATTAATTCATATTTCTTTTTTGCCTTTGTTCTGAATTAAATGCTAGCATACTGCACTGTATATACTTAAACGTGTGATTTATTTAATTTTTTTAAACTTGTGCAACAAATTGTTTCTAACAGAAGTGTGCTGCTTTATCGTTCTCACTATGTTGCATGTTTAATTTACTAAGATTGGTAGCAGTTATCATTATGTAAGTAATTTAGTTATTTTGCTTTTGGCAGATCAATCATATAATTGGCTTGTTGATTGCAGGTATAGCTGAACCAGTTGAAGTCACAGATAACGGTGACGGCACACACACAGTGGCCTACACGCCGTCTGTCGAGGGCTCGTACTCGGTCGCAGTCAAATACGCAGACGAGGAAGTTCCACGCAGGTAACCCGTGTCAGATTCACTCGCTCCGTTCACAACCACTGTGAGTGCTACTGTTCTCTAAATCAGACCAATCCCTCAAACATCTCTTCTAGTCCGTTCAAGCTGCGCGTTCAGCCCACTCATGATGCCAGTAAGGTGCGTGCCAGCGGCCCCGGGCTCACCACCGGCCTCTCGGCCAGCTTCCCGGTGGAGTTCACCATCGACGCCAAAGATGCCGGCGAGGGCCAGCTGTCTGTGCAGATCACCGTGAGTCCTGACGTCTCCAGTCTCAGCTTCCTCTTGTGGTTTGAACAAACGGATTAGCGTTTCAATACGTCTGATTATTATTGTGTTTTTCAGAGGTTGGTTTGAATGTTTTCAGTTGGCCAACAGACTCTAAAATCACATTTGGATTTAGTTTTTGAATTGCAGTGGAAAAATTTAAAAAAGATTATTTCAGACTTTTGACTGGTGGTTTTGGGGAGTACATGTGTTATATATTATATTATATTATATTGAAATTATATTATATCGTTTTTAATAAATAATATTTAATAAATAATTTTGATAAACATTTTAAATTATATAGTTATTTTAATATTATTATTATTAGTAGTAGTAGTAGTAATAGTATGATTATTATTAGTAGTATTTAACATTTAATATTATAACATATAGCATTTTTTTTTTTTTAAATAAATTGATTTTAATTGTTAATATTTAAGTATTATTAGTATTAGTAGTAGTATTTTAAAAGAATGATACTAGTAGTAATCTACTGCTACTACTGCTACTATTTTCTTAAGCTAATATTTTTATATAGTATATTTTACAATCTTTATAATAAAAAAAAATATATATATATATATTCATTGAAGTAGAAAGTTTTCAGCCAGCCAGCAGGCTGAAAATCACATTTGGATTCAGTTTTTGACTTGCAGTGGAAAATATGAATGAGGATCTGCAAGTATCACATAATAGCATATTGTGACATTCATCTTTCTCTTGGATGCAGCATGTTATTTTATCTTTTGAGAAGGAACTGCTCCGGTGATCCAGTATTAGGTTAGATTTTTCTGACTCTGAATGCATTCAGCGAGACCGAAGTGGCCAGCAGTGAGATAAATGATCTTCATGCAAAAAAGTTTTTGTTTGCATAATGTGTGTGTGTACTGTGTATATTTATTATGTATATATAAATACACATACATACAGTATATATTTTGAAAATATTTACGTCTATATTTATATTAATATAATTTATATTATAAATAAATATTTAATATATAAACAACATATTTTTCTGAAATATTTACATGCAATATATTTTTATATAATATTATATTTCTTTATATTTATGTATTTATTTTAACTGAATTTTTCATATTTATTATTTTCATAATTAACAAATTTATGTATGCTATGTGTTTGTATATGTAAAGCTGATGAAAGCCAAACAGCAGCAGGAAGTCCAGGGGCAAGCTGAAGCTCTTCCTCCTCAGTCCTGCTTCTCATTGATGAAGCTCCTCTCGGTTTCTCTGTTTCAGGAGGCTGAAGGTCCTGCAGTCGTTTCATGCTGTTTCTCGTGTGTTTCAGGATCTGGATGGTAAACCCAAGAAAGCCAACATTCAGGACAACTGCGACGGAACCTACAAAGTGTCTTATGTGCCTGATAAGGTGGGCCGTTACACTATTGTGATCAAGTACGGCGGAGACGAGATCCCCACTTCTCCATATAGAGTGAGAGCGAGCGCTACAGGAGACGCCAGCAAGTGTACAGTCACCGGTAGGCCTGGTTTTGGATGTATTTTTATATTATAATTAATATTGTTTAAATCAAATTATTTTATGTTTTATATATTTTTTTAATAATATTATTACATTTTTTAAATATTAGATTTCTTTATAGTTATGTATTTATTTTAACGGTATATTTCATATTTATTATATTCATAATTAACAAATTTATGTATGCTATATTTTTATATATGTAATTAAAATATGTATTGTATATAATATATTAAAATGTTTTGATGTTAAAATCTAAATGTATAATATTAAAATGTTTATCTGTGACCCTGGAGCACAAAAGCAGTCTTAAGTCGCTGGGGGATATTTGTAGCAATAACCAACAATACACTGTATGGGTCACAATGATCGATTTTTCTTTTATGCCAAAAATCATTAGGATATTAAGTAAAGATCATGTTCCATGAAGATATTTAGTAAATTTCCTACCGTAAATATATTAAAACTTAATTTTTGATTAGTAATATGCATTGCTAAGAACTTAATTTGGACGACTTTAAAGATGATTTTCTCAATTTAAATTTTTTTACACAGATTTTTAAATAGTTGTATCTCGGCCAAATATTGTCCTTTCATAACAAACCATACATCAATGGAAAGCTTATTTATTCAGCTTTTTGATATATTAGACATGAATATATATGTATATGATATTATTTATATATATATATAAAGGTTATAATTTATATAGTAGTTATATTTAGTGATACATTTTTATTCTATTATATTAGAATTATATATTTTATTTAAATTTCCTAAAATTGTAAATACATTTAGAAATATAAATTATTATTTTTTTAAAATATTTTGATTTGTAATTTTTAAGTCTTTTATTTAAATATTTATTTTAATTGTTTGTAGCCTGAATAACTATGGGAAAATACATCATTTGTTTTGTTTTGTTCAAACCACATTTGTAATGTGGTTTGGATTTTATTTTTGGTAATGCATTTTAGTTTGAAAACGGATTACATTTTTAAATTTTGCACTTCCCACAATGAGCTGCTAGTGTTTGATGCAATAGAAAGTCTCTTGCTTCTGCACTGATGCCTGCGTCATCAGCAAGCCTTGAAATACTAATTTGTGGTGAATAATGCTAATAACTATTTACCTTTATGAATCTAGACCAACTTGACCAAACTGAAACAGATAAGTGGGATAAAAAAAACATATATTCAAAACATGTTCTGCCACAATAACAACTGACCCTAAAATCTGTTAAATGCTTTTAAATCTCAACAATTTCAAAATTGAAAACGCACCAAGAGGAAACAATGCTTCACCGATGCAATCACTCACACATGATCATGGGGTGTGTGTCCTCAGGACCTGGCATCGGGCCGACCATCGGCATTGGAGAGGAGGTCGGGTTTGTGGTGAACACTAAAGAAGCGGGGAAGGGGAAGGTCTCCTGCGTCGTAGTGACTCCAGACGGCACCGAGGTGGAAGCTGAAGTTATCGAGAACAAGGACGGCACCTTCGACATCTTCTACACGGCTCCTAAACCCGGGACGTACGTGATTTACGTGCGCTTTGGAGGGGAGAACATCCCCAGGAGCCCCTTCAAAGTCATGGTGAGACGAAAACGCTCTTAAGAGGAAGCATACTGAAGAGATACGGTTCAGTGCTGTGTGTCATCATATCATCATCTGGAGTTCATTGTTTCTGCTCGTATCGGCTCTTCCTGTGTTAAGATGTAGTTTCTTTGCATTATCAAGACAAATGATCGCACTCGTTTTATTAATGCTTTCATATCTCCTGACGTTACGGGAAGGATTTGATTCAGGCCTGAAACATGCACGCAAACGCTCCATTTCATGCATCTTTGTGTTCCGGATTGTCTCAAAGCGGAATTCATAACACAATTAAAAACACAATGTATTCTCAGAGAGCTGAACGATAAATCAAGAGAGTGATAAAGCTGTGATTGAATTAAATACATGCGCTGTTTAAGGCAGCTGTCAAGTATTAGAATTTATATGGTAAAGGTTTACTGTGAAATATTTTTTAATGCTTTATTTTACAGTAAAATATTATTCAGTAGTAATATTCTTTTATTTAGTTTAATAGTTTTAATAATAATAATGGTAAATAAAAGTTGTGTTTTATAAAATAAGAATAAATATTAGTAAATTAAACTTTGAAACAAAATAAAAAATAGTACTCGTGCAATATATTTTACTGTAAAATAAAAAACAAGTATTTAAGAACAGCAATTTTACAGTATAAGGTTAAAATGTCAATATTTATATATTTAGTGTTTATAGCTGCATTATTTTTATTTTTTTCAGTTGCACATAAAATGTTGGCATTGTCAATATTATGTCAATATATGAAAATATTGATGATTAAATATTAGTGTTATTATAGGTTATAATAATTATAAATGAAACTATTACTGGAATAAAATAATACTAGTGTAATACATTTTACAGTAAAAGTTTTCAAAATTGTAAAAAAAATAATAATAATTTAAAAAAGATTACTGTAAAATTATTATTATTTCATAGTCATATCAATATATAATCAAACAATTTTGAGCCAAATTCTTCTCTCATTGTTTTTTAATTTCAATCAGTATTTTTAACAGAACACATTGCAATTAGATTTTTCTTCAAATCATTCTCAGCATTTCTGCAAGTGGACGTTTATGTAAACTGTGACTTATACTGTACACATTTGTAGCTTCAGTATCTGCCTGTTAGCACAGTAACACATGGAGTTTTGTTACCGCCGCAGCAACAACGAATGTGCTGTGTGCGTTTGACTCTGTTTCTCTGTGTTCCTCATGCATCTGAAGGTTCATGTCCATACATATCATTTCCCAGGCAACAGATGAAGTTCCCATGATGCAGCAGCAGTCAGTCCAACAGCAAAAGGCGGCACCAGGCGTCGGCTTCCAGCCCTGGGTACAAAGACACACGTCTCACCCGTCACCCTTCGCTCTCTTTCAGCCTTCGCTCTGAGCTCCAGCTTCCAGCCGGTCACCTCTCTGTCCTGATGTTTGTCTGTTCTTGACTTCCTATCTTTCATTTAATGGGGTTTCTGTTCAGTTCCTCTGTATTTGAGCACTCAAGCCTTGTTTTTTGCAGGAAATGGTTGGAATTGTTACTTTTCCTCCCTCTCTGGTTGATTAGTCTTGAACATGCTCTGGTTTTCTCACTGATGACCGAAGCAGAGGGAAACTCGATGGCTGAGTGTTTAGACTGATCTAGTTTTGTTTGGAGTGGATACCAGGTTTAAGTTGGTCATTATTAAGACATTAACCTCAGATTGTGCAGAACTGTTATGCGCTTCTCTGCTGCCCTGATGTAGTTTTATTCATAAAGTTTAATAGATGTCATTTCCAAAACCACAAAGCAGATCCGTGAAACACTTAATACTCTTAGCTTTAAAAACACACAATACTGTTCAAAGAAATTGAAGGAATTAAGTATTTTATTCAGCATGGATGCATTCAATTAAGCAAAAGTGACCGTAAAGACATTTATGATGTTGCAAAAGGTTTCTATTTAATATAAATGCTGTTCTTCTTTTAAACTTTCTATACACCAAAGAATCCTGAAAAATAAAATGCATCACCGTTTTCATTGATGATAAATGTTAATAAATCAGCATATTAGAGTCATTTCTGAAGATCATGTGACACTGAAGACTGGAGTAATGATGCTGAAAATTCAGCTGTTTATAGCTGTATTATTACTTTATTTACTTTTTCATTTTCAGTTGCTGCTGTTTGGCACAAAAAAGGTATTATATATCAATATGATGATTAAATATTATTATTATTATTATTATTATTATTCATAATAATAAAATTAGTGTAATATATTCTACTGTAATATAAAAAATCATAAAATATATATTTAGTGTATAGTTGCATTAATTAATTAATTAAGTTTTAATTTTCAATTGCTGCACAATTTGGCCAAAAATGTTGTAATTATATATCAATATGACTATTGAATATTTATTATTATTATTTCATAGTCAGATTAATATTACATAATTCTGGGCAAAATTGTATTTATTTATTTATTTTTAATCCCAATCACAGTTTTTAACAGAAACAATCCAAATTGTGCAGCCCTACTCAGGTGGGGATAGCAGATGTTTATGTAAACTGTTTGACTTCGTTATAGTTATAATGTTAACACGTCTGTCTACCTGTTAGCACAGTAACACATGGAGTTCTGTTACCACCACCGCAGCAGCAACAACTCCTTTCCAACAGGATTGGCCCAATCTGCCGTGTGTGTTTTAGTATGTTTCTTTGTGTTCCTCGTGTATCTGAAAATTCATGTCCATACATATCATTTCCCAGGCAACAGATGAAGTTCCCATGATGCAGCAGCAGTCAGTCCAACAGCAAAAGGCGGCACCAGGCGTCGGCTTCCAGCCCTGGGTACAAAGACACACGTCTCACCCGTCACCCTTCGCTCTCTTTCAGCCTTCGCTCTGAGCTCCAGCTTCCAGCCGGTCACCTCTCTGTCCTGATGTTTGTCTGTTCTTGACTTCCTATCTTTCATTTAATGGGGTTTCTGTTCAGTTCCTCTGTATTTTTGAGCACTCAAGCCTTGTTTTTTGCAGGAAATGGTTGGAATTGTTACTTTTCCTCCCTCTCTGGTTGATTAGTCTTGAACATGCTCTGGTTTTCTCACTGATGACCGAAGCAGAGGGAAACTCGATGGCTGAGTGTTTAGACTGATCTAGTTTTGTTTGGAGTGGACCCCAGGTTTAAGTTGGTCATTATTAAGACATTAACCTCAGATTGTGCAGAACTGTTATGCACTTCTCTGCTGCCCTGATGTAGTTTTATTCATAAAGTTTAATAGATGTCATTTCCAAAACCACAAAGCAGATCCGTGAAACACTTAATACTCTTAGCTTTAAAAACACACAATACTGTTCAAAGAAATTGAAGGAATTAAGTATTTTATTCAGCATGGATGCATTCAATTAAGCAAAAGTGACCGTAAAGACATTTATGATGTTGCAAAAGGTTTCTATTTAATATAAATGCTGTTCTTCTTTTAAACTTTCTATACACCAAAGAATCCTGAAAAATAAAATGCATCACCGTTTTCATTGATAATAAATGTTAATAAATCAGCATATTAGAGTCATTTCTGAAGGATCATGTGACACTGAAGACTGGAGTAATGATGCTGAAAATTCAGCTGCGCATCACAGAAATAAATTACATTTTAAATATATTTTCAAATAGTAAAGTCATTTTAAATTGTAATAATATTTCATATTTTTACTATATATTTGTTCAAATAAATGTAGCCTTGGTGAGCAGAAGAGACTTCTTTTAAAAACATTAACAATTCTTACCAACCTTACCAAACTTTTTGTTTGACCCAGAATTAGTTATTGGTAAATAAGTTTTATCACAAAAAACGTAATCATCATCATCATCATCATATTAGTAAATTAGAAAACAAATATAAAACAACTTTTAAATTATAGTAATAATATTTCACAAATGTTACTGTATTTATGATCAAGTAAATGCAGCCTGGTGAGCAGAAGAGGCTTCTTCTGCATTAAAAAGTCTTACTGACCCCAAAAATTATGTAAAACCGTATATTTGAATTAGAATTAGCTATTTTTGGTAGAGGGTTTTTTGGTCACTATTTAATGTATTTATAATCTGGGATGTGTAGAACTCTTGAAATGAAGCATATTAGAGAGCATAATTTCGCTCTTATTGTTCCCTAAAGTGCTGTCTAGTTAGTCAACTCGCTATGTTTTGTTCGGTAGTGATGTATTAATAATCTTAACACACAGTTGTAAGTCTGGTCATAGCGGTTACCTCATACCTCCTGGGGAAAAACAGAAAGTGTGATTTGTCAGTTATGCATCTTCCTGTATTAGATGTCTCAACATGTTTCCTTCTATGCACACTATCACTTTTCCTCACTTCTCAGATGTTTACCGTGGTTATGGGGATTTTTCTTCTCTCTTTGCTTTGTCAGGTGTGCTGGGGGCCGATCTCTGTCTTCCAGCGTTTGGTGTCTAACACACGTTTGTCTTCTGCTGTGGCTGATTCACTGAGCTGTTAATGTCTGTTCTCATCCACAGCGCTCTGGCTTTCAGAATGGATCACACAGACTGACTAAACGTGGAAATGTTTGACAGGCCGCTGTAATGGATGCGTTTGTAGCGTCCGCTCTCATTTACTCCGATTTCTCCCTCACAGGTTACAGATGGCGCGTATGTTCCTGCCAACAGCGTGAACGGGACGGGGTACAGGCCTTTCGATATGGTGATTCCCTTCACCTTTAGGAAGGGGGAAATCACAGGTGAGAGACTGCAGAAGACACCTGGAGCCGTTGCACAAAACCTCTTAAAGTGAACAGAACTCTTATTCTGCTGCTTGCGAGTTCAATTTGAGACAAATTAAAGGGTTTTCTTAAAGGTTTTGTGCAATCAACTGCAGATCTGTAAAAAAAAAAATATTTTACCACAATATCAAAAAAGAGGAAAAACAGAAAATGCAAGAAAATCATTCATATTTTTTTGGGATCATTAAGAATTTTTTTTTTTTGGCGTTATGAAATTACTTTCTTGTAAACTAAGCCCACTTTCTCAAAATTCTCATTCCTGTAATGCAAAATAATCATCAAAAATATTTTCACAACTTTTATTTATTTATTAACATAATGATAGGCTATACAATAAATACTGCCATTGAAGTATTAATACTAGTAAATTATGTATTTATTGGGGAATGTATGTATTCCCCAATTGTAAGTCACTTTGGATAAAAGCATCGGCAAAATGACTAAATGTAAATGTAGTAAATGTCCATTTTTATATCATTTGTGCTGTATACTTTTTTTCACAATGTTAATGATATTTGTTGGAAATGTTTGGATACTAGTAGTTATTTTATTTTATTTTTTTGTATTTTTAAAAATGTATTTACCATAATAACCAACAGTGACAGCAACACAACACGCACAAAAATAATAATAATTGTATTATTATTATTATCATAAAGGCCAAACCAGAAGTACTGACATAAAGTATTAATACTAATAAATATACATTTTATATATTATATATATATATATATATATATATTTGATTTAGATTTTTTCACATGGTAACAAAATTTGTTAGAAATGTTTCAGTTCTGGTAGTTCATTATTTCATTTTATTTATTTACTTTTTCATAAACAATAACCAACAATGATAACACAACACAAAATAAATAATAATAATTTTACTATTAAAATTCTGTACATACAACAATAATTCCATTGACATTTATAGCCTGATTTTATTTTTTATTTTTAATTGAAGATTAAGAAATGTCATTTAAAATCATGCCAAAATGTCTTAATAGTCCTTTTTTTTTTTTTTTACATAAAATATACCAGATATTTTCCATTTTGTGAGATTCACTCACATTAGAAGTGATGACCTGTAAATCAGCAGTGATATTTGTTCAATAACCATAATCTAAACTGGTAATGTTTGTCTTCCAGGTGAGGTTCACATGCCGTCAGGTAAAAGCGCCCAGCCTGAGATCATCGACAACAAAGACGGGACGGTCACGGTGAAGTACGCGCCCACAGAGGCTGGCCTCCACGAAATGCACATTAAATTCAACGGGACACACATCCCAGGTCAGAGTCCACACACCATCTGTTCATAATGCACCATCAAAACTGATGATGATTATTATTATTAATAATCAAATAGAAACTCTTAAAAATGCTTCTAAATATAATTTTCATATATATTTTATTAATGATAATATTTCACCCCAAAATCAAAGGGGAAAAATAATTAAGTTGTTTTAAAATTATAATTTAAATTATTTAAATAATTTTAAATATAACTTAGTGGTAGTATATCACTATGCAAAAAATCTTAATGGGCCTAAAAAGGTTTAATTTTCTTTTTTTTTCTTTTTTTTTAGACGTGACGGCCTACGGCCCGGGTCTGGTCTATGGCACCGCCAGTAAAACCGCCATGTTCACCATCTACACTGAAGATGCGTCTGACGGTGTGTACTGTACAAACACGCCACGCTCACGCTGCTTCAGCATTTAGCTCAAAACCTTCTGCTGAGAAAACATGCTGTGTTTTGTGTCAGGTGGCCTGGATTTGGCCATTGAAGGTCCGTCCAAGGCTGAGATCAACTGCGTGGACAACAAAGACGGCACTTGTACGGTTTCATACCTGCCCACGCTGCCTGGAGATTATAATATACTCGTCAGATATAATGACAAACACATCGCAGGAAGCCCCTTCACGGCCAGGATCACAGGTACACTGCTAAAAATATATATATTTACTGTAAAAAAGGCAAATGTGGTTGCCAGAACCTGATTGTAAAAAAATACAGTAGGAACATTTTACATTCTACAGATTTAACTTAAATTTACAGGGGAAAAAAGTTCATGTGCCAATGTACTGAAATATTTCAAATCGGTTATGTACCTCTATAAAACCAAAAAAAAAGAGACAACTGATGAATCAAAGTTCATCATGTAGAAGATGAACAAATAAAAAACACAATCATGACAAATAATGCAATAAATACTCATTTATTAATGAGAGATATTATTTAATAATAGTAATATTAATATTAATAATCATCATTATTATTATTACCTTAATACTAATATGTAGAAGCACAAATACAAGACACCATCATGGTAACACACTTGACACTAAAATAATGCAATAAATATTAATTTATTAATAATTGCTATTGTTATTAATTATTTACTAACAGTTTTTAATTAATGATGATAATAGTAATAATAGCGATTTCATTTATTTATTATTCTTTCATTTGATAAATTAACATCTTTTTATGGATATATTTATTTAATAATTCATTTTGATTAATAATAATAATAGCTATTGTTATTTATTTTGTCATTTATTATCAGCAGCATCCTCATCTTTACTTAATGCTTATATAGAGAAGATGCACAAATACAAAATACTATCATGGTATCACAAATGACACTAAAATAATGCATTAAACGATGTTTCAAAAACCCTATTGTACGCAACTGATAAGAAAAAAGCTGTTTCATTGTTCTTTTTCACTTCCAAAAACTGTACATTGAACCGTATTTTACTGTAAAGTTGCATGAAACCTCTCATTAGATGACTTACAGTTTTACTCTGTATGTAGTAATCTACATGGTCTACTTGACTTCTGTAGTAAGATCTGTTTTTGGTCTCTTCAGAGGACAATAAGAGGAAGTCTCAGGTAAAGCTGGGCTCCGCTGCGGATTTCTCTCTGGATATCCACGAGACGGATCTCAGTCTGCTCACCGCGAGCATCAAAGCCCCGTCTGGCCACGATGAGCCCTGTTTGCTCAAGAGGCAGCCCAGCAATCACATCGGTGGGGCTGGAATACATGCTCCGATTCTTTCTGCCGGCTGGGAGTTTGCTTTGGTAGCACCTGACTGGTCGTTGTCTCCTCAGGCATTTCCTTCATCCCAAGAGAAGTCGGAGAGCACCTGGTGAGCATCAAGAAGAACGGCCGGCACGTTGCTAACAGCCCCATCACCATCATGGTGGTCCAGTCTGAGATCGGAGACGCCAGCAGAGTCAAGGTGTTCGGTCAGGGTCTGGTGGAGGGATGCACCTTCGAGATGACAGACTTTGTGGTGGACACCAGAGAAGCTGGTGAGAAACACATTTTTATTTTGTTTTTAATTTTTCTTATTTATTTAATAACTGTTATCATCAACTTATCATCTTTTTTTATTTATATATCTAATTATATTAACCACCATTAATTATTTTATTTTAATAATCTCATAATAATAATAATCATAATAGCTATTGTTATGTTGGTGGTGTTTAAAAAAAAAAAAGAAGTTTATAATAGTTTTTATTTACTTATTTGATAGTAACTATTATTATGATTATTACTGTCTTTATTTAATAATAAATATTGTTGTTTAATTAATATATTAATATTTTAGTTTTTATTTAATAATTTTATAATTATAGATATTCTGTTTAATAATAACTATTAAGATATATTTATTTAATAATAATATGTGCTAAAGTAATTAAATTTAGTTAATTATTGTTTAAGTTTGTTTTTATAAATTTGTTTATTGAATCACTTTTTAATAATAATTACTATCTTATTTATTTTTCATAATTATGACTTATTTATTTACTAATATTTAATTTAATTAAATATACAATTTAATGTTGTTGTTTTTTAATTTATTTAATATGAACTATTACTATTTTTTAGAATAATAATATGGCGATTTCTTCATTCTTTAAGTCCTTTACCCCACCTTGAGATTCTCTAAAGAACTAAATATCATAGTTTTGAGAGTGGGCTGTTTTCACTTGGTTAAACCAACCTAACTTTAGCAGCCGCATATCAACTTCTTCCCAAAAGCCGATGATATGAATGTTTCTCCAAAACAAGCGGGTTCATCTGAGGTCACATTACAGAATGTGGTGCTCCCCTCAGATTTTTTTCCTTTATAACAAAGATATTCATGTTAAATGTTAAAAATGACCGTTTCTTCCTAACCATCTAACCTGCCTAACCGAGCTACATAAGCACTAAATAAACCAGGTCTGCCAAACGTCTGGCCGTTAATGATGTTTTCTCAAGCTCTCAAATCCGCTTAATTGCTGAGAATTTAATCCAAACAGGTTGTGCAAAGTGGCTCGAAGCTGGAAATGAGAGAGAGAAAATTTGTAATTGGTACCACAGCGGCTAATTATCTCCCACTTACATAAAGAACTCCAAATATTTATGCAATTAGTCCTTAATATATATCACACACTATTAAACTCGTCACAATAAGTCTTGTAGGATCAAGACTGTGTTTATTTCTCATGCATTCAGGTGTGTTTTCTGTTCGTGTTGATGGCATGATGCATCTGATCTTTGGTCTGAATTGCATTAATGTCTTCATAGGTTACGGCGGTTTGGCGCTGGCCATCGAGGGTCCCAGTAAGGTGGACATACAGACAGAGGACATGGAGGACGGCACTTGTGGCATCTCATATTGTCCGACTGAGCCAGGCACCTACATAGTGTCCATCAGGTTTGCAGAAGAGCACGTCCCTGGTAAGAGAGCGTGCATGAAGCATCATTCAAAACTTCTATTTAATTTAGAATGTGCTCCAAATAAGGTGGAATTTGACCCGTTTATAGATTATTTGGCAAAAGACAAAAAAACTAATTGAAAATGGAGTATTAAGCGTATTATTTGTGTTTAATAAGATGATATTAAAAATTTTCTTCAAAAGAGACCAAAATTATTTAATACTAGATTTGAATGTCATTTTTATTTATTTAATTATTTTTTAAAGTTTTTAAAATTTTACCTTTGGCACAAATAATTTAATTTATTGTAATAAATTAAACAATCCTATTTGATTTTTTTATATATATTTACTCTTTCAGCACAAATAAGTTATATATTTTTTTTTTTTATAAATTAAACATACTACTTGAAGGTTAATGTAATAAGATGATATTAAAAATTTTCTTCAAAAGAGACCAAAATTATTTAATACTAGATTTGAATGTCATTTTTATTTATTTAATTATTTTTTAAAGTTTTTAAAATTTTACCTTTGGCACAAATAATTTAATTTATTGTAATAAATTAAACAATCCTATTTGATTTTTTTATATATATTTACTCTTTCAGCACAAATAAGTTATATATTTTTTTTTTATAAATTAAACATACTACTTGAAGGTTAATGAATGAATGAATGGTTTCCACAAAAATATGAAGCAGCATAACTGTTTTCAACATTGATAATAATCAGAAATGTTTTTTGAGCAGTAAAGTAAAATTCATCTTTGCATTACAGCAATAACTTGCATTTTAAAATCCATCCAAATAGAAAACTGCTATTTTGAATTGTAGTGATATTCACAATTTTACTGTATTTTTTGATCAAATGAAAGCAGAAGAGACGTCTAGTGTTTGTTCCTGTCGTTGTGTGACTTGTATTGCATCTCTGTGTTCACAGGAAGTCCGTTCAGCGTGAAAGTGACGGGCGAAGGTCGTGTCCGTGAGAGCATCACTCGCCGTCAGAAAGCTGCTTCCGTCGCTAGTGTTGGCAGCGTTTGTGATCTCAATCTGAAGATCCCAGGTATGAAACTTCCTCATATCTGTTCAGTGAAGATGTCAAACAGACGTCTGTCCTCGTTCCGATTCCTCTTCAAATCCTAAACTGGAGTTTCAATGTAGATTAGGCGTGAATTATTTACCATTTCATCCACTTTGTCAAAAGGCTTGGTTTATTGGCTTGTTTAACACACTCTCTGACAGGATCGCTAGCCAGAAAGCACAAAACAAATGAAGGTGCTGTTGTTTTGCTGGCTCACGTCCTGCGTTACAGCATCGAGTCGCCGTACTTGAGTAAAAACACATGGCTCTGTGAAACAAGGCAATATATGCAGGCCGTGCTGAGCGGATTAAAGTCTCTGCTGTGATTTCCCATCAGACCAGCGCAGCTGCTGCGTGATGCTCACTCGTGTGAAGACTGGCGCTTGGCTTTCGAGGAGGTTTGCTGAAGCTGCACTTCAGTACGAGTCTTGGCGTAGTCTGAAATGTCTTTTTGTGTGAGAGAGGGCAGTTTTCTCCTCATTTCATTTGAATAGTAATTCTAACAAGCACAAACAGTGTTTAAAAAGATGTTATATTATTATTAATTACAATTAATTTAATATATGAATTATATTAATTTATATATATATTTATATATTTTTTTAATAAATTAAAATAAAATACTACTTGAAGGTTAGGTGTATTTTATTTTATTTTTATAATGAATAGAATATAATAAATTAATCCAATAAGAAACTATATTACATTTTAGATGGATATTTGATAGATGTGAATGTCATTTGTGTAATTTAAAATGATTTTATTCTATAATTTCTTTTTTTATCATATTTTGCCTTTCACAAATATTTTTTCAAGCAAATTAATGAACCAATCAAATATTCCTAGTTAGATGAATATAGATATGCTGTATTACAATAACTTTATTCTAAACCGTATCATTATGTTTTAAGATCTATGTATTTTTACATCACAGTTTTAGAAAATGACAACTCTGCGTTATATTTTGCAGTAGAGAATGCAAGTGAGCATGTGTGTTTTGTCATGTCACCATCGCGTCACTCTCGTGTGAACAGTTAAAACTAAACCGGATCATGCAGACTGCTTCCATGTGTGATTTGAGAGATCTGTCCTGGTTAATGAGGGTTAGCAGGTGATGTAATACAGGCCACACAGACATCACTTTATCCCATATGAGCTCATTCACACACATTGCTGGATCTGACCGACTCTGAGCTCACAAACTTGCTCTTAAAGTGTTTCATGAGACTGAAAGACATAGAGTGAAAATAACATGCATACATGGCAAAATATGCTTCCTCTATACTCTTATCTTTTTTTTCCCACTTTACTGTTTTTCTCGTCTGATGCACTGCCTGTTCTGTCCTGTATCTTTCCTCACTTGTTTCTGTCTTTTCCTGCTGTTTTCTGCGTCTGTGACCATCAGTGACCTGGTTTCTTCTGGCTTTGGCTCGTGAGTTGCTCTCACGCGGCGTCTATCGCTCGCACTGCTCTATTCGGCTTGGGGTCAAAGGTCACAGCAGTGCAGGGTGGACCCGCTTCACCGTGGGCCGAGTGAGGGTGACTAGGATTGGCACGGCACCCGTCAGAAGGCCCTGTGGAGGGCTGGAGGGTGCGTTATAAACACGCCGCATGTGGACCACGAGGTTGGCAGAACACGCTTGCTTTTGATACTCGTTTGTTTGTGTTTGCATGAACCAGAGCTGCTTTTTTTGCTCATTACAACTTCATAAAAATGTTGAATTATTCATTTATTTATTGTTATCCTCTTGCCATTGCAAACCCAAATGAATATTTCTTCTGTGCAAGGTTATTATAGTCAACTAAACCTAAAAACATAAAACCCTTTTGAAATGAGCGTTGACTGAAATAAAATGCACAAAAAAAAAACATTTCTCATATTTTAGTTTGTTAAATTACTAAAATAATATAAAATAAGCTAAAGCTAAAAGGAAAAACTACATAGACTAATAAAAATCACAAAAACACAATTACTAAAACTTCAACAAAAATAAAATTAAAACAACAAAAATAAAATCTATTTTAACTAATGACATAAAGATAATCTAATTTAAATGTTAAATATTTTAATGTAATTTAATTTCTAGTTAAATGGGTGGAAAATATCTTACATGTCATAATTTTTTGCTTGTTACACCATGTGTTTAAAAATAAATTAGAAGAGAAAAAGAAAGTTAAAACAAATTACAAAAAAATCGAATGTAAATTTTAATATCTCAATGTAATTTTATTTCTAGTAAAAAGGGCGGAAAATATCTTTGTCATCTTTTTTTGCACATTACACAATTTTTTCATTACAAAAACAACAAAATTGCTAAAACTTGAAAAAAAATTGTGAAAGCAGTAAATATAAATTTAATGTTAAAGTAAAAAAAAAAAAGGAAAATGTTAACATCTTTTTTGCTCATTAAATTGTGATTTTTTTTAAAATTTGTTTTCTAAAAGATGCACAAACAAAACTAAATTATTAAAACTTGAAAGTGAAAACAAAAATTCAATTAAATCAAATCAAATAAATCAGAACTGAAATTCTAATAGTATATCAATGATAATAAAATAACACTACTTCTGTTGAACGTGAAAAGAGATGTTTAGCCAAATGTTCGCGCTGCTTTCAGTCTTTTTGTGTTGCGTGGTAGAAAGTCAGTCATACAGGTTTGGAGCAACATGAAGCTGCGTAAATAATAAAAGAGCGCAGGAAGACTCAGGTCTCTGTATGTTGCTTGCAAAGCCTTGAGAACGAGCAGAAGTCAGAGCAGCTGAGAGCCGTTTCTCCGTCTCTTCTGTCAGCTTCTGCTCTCTGCTCTCCACAGGAATCGACCTCCAGGACGTCTCGGCGCAGGTCAGGAGCCCGTCGGGAGCCACGGAAGCGGCTGAGATGGTGGCGGTGGGAAATCACACCTACTGCGTGCGCTTCGTGCCTCACGAGATGGGCGTTCACACGGTGAGCGTGCAGTACCGCGGGCAGCACGTGCCGGGAAGCCCCTTCCAGTTCACCGTCGGCCCGCTGGGTGAAGGAGGAGCCCGCCAGGTGCGAGCCGGAGGGCCGGGTCTGGAGAAGGCCGACACCGGTGTGCCAGGTATAAATGCTCATTAATCTTTTTTTTTTTTTTTTTTTTTTTTTTTTTTTTTTTTCACGGTGTTTTTTTTTTTTTTTTTTTTTTTTTTTTTTTTTACTTCCAGCTGTTTATTTTCATTTTGATATTTTAATGTCATTTTAATTCTAGTTTTAAAAACAGGTGGGAAAAGGTGGAAAATATGGTGTAACGGTGTGAAAATGGTAGTATTTCTTGTACTGCCTTTAATTTATATTCATTTTATTTTACATTTATATGAATATTATACTGTATATATGTACATATAATACTGTAATAATGTACAGTAATTTTAGCGTAAAAATTGCCACAAAAAAAAACTTTTGTTTTAATATTTCTATTTAATTTTCATTTTGGTTGAAAAAGTGGAAATATCTTTAAATATCTTCATCTTGGGAGAAAGCCTGTTTTGTTCATTACACATGTTCTTTACCATGATTTTCATAAAAAAAAGATTAAATTATTCATGTAAATGACTTAGTTCCATTGAACACAAAAGAGATGTTTAAGTTATGATAAAATGTAAATTTTGCTTTATACCTTAAAATTTTATACTTTTGGTAGTATGTGTTATACTGCCTTATTTTAGTTTAATTTTACATTTATTTTAATATTTTAATGTACAGTATTTTGAACTTAAATGCAGAAAGAATTTTTTTTATTTTATAATTAATTTAATTTTCATTTTAGTTCGTGGAAAATATCTCCAATTTTTTTTATATTTTTATCTAATTTTCATTTTAGTAAAAAAAAAATTATATATATAGTTTAATTCCCCCCCCCCCCAAAAAAAATCATTTTCATAAAGAAATGTTCAACTATTTACTCATCAAAATTATTGTACAATTTTATATATTATGTTAGTATGCCTACATAATGTTGTAGTTCCTGTTATTGAATTTTACATTGAATTTACTATATTTACTGGTAACTAAAAAAAGAAATAAAAAAAACAAAAATGGTGGAAATCTTTAAATGCCATTTAAACAAAGAAATGTTGAATTATTTGCTTACCTGATTTTTCTTTCTTTCTATAAAATGTTACACATTATAAAAATGTTATAAAATTGCATTTTTATGGTAGTATTTGTTGTACTGGCATTTAATTTTGAATTTATTTACATATTTTAATTTAACTTTATTAAAAAGGAGAAAAAGGTTTGGAAATATATTCAAATGTCATCTTGAAAAGGCTTATTTTTTTTAAGGCTTATGCAAATGTAATGTGTTTTGACTGTCTTTGTGAGACTGAACTGTGTATGTTTCTTGTTGTGCTCATGTAGCTGAGTTTAATGTGTGGACGCGTGAGGCGGGCGCCGGCGGTCTGTCCATCGCTGTTGAAGGCCCCAGTCGTGCAGAAATCTCCTTCGAGGAGAGGAAGGACGGATCATGTGGCGTCTCATATGTAGCTCAGGAACCAGGTATAAAAACACACAAGACCTTTCTGTCCTGTGCTCCCTTTGAAAAGCTGAGCTTACCCAAGCAACTGATCTTCAATCTCTTTGCAGGCGACTACGAAGTGTCTATAAAGTTCAACGACGAGCACATTCCCGACAGCCCTTACCTGGTGCCCGTCTACGCTCCTGTCGACGACGCTCGGCGACTCACTGTTACCAGTCTTCAGGTGAGACATGAGGAAACACCGACACACAGACACGTGTCCACAGCTATTCGACTCTCAAGCTAGCAACGTTTACACTGGAAAACAGCATTATTAATATGAATAGTGGCTTAGACTTTTGTTGAAAGAAGCCTCTTCTGCTTACCCAGGCTGCATTTATTTGACTCAAAACACAGTAAAAATTGTGAAATATTATTACAATTTAATATAGCTGTTTTCTATTTATTCATATTTTAAAATATAATTTATTTTTGTGAGTCAAAGCTGAATTTTCCAGTCTTTAGTGTCACACGGTAATCAGAAATCATTCTAATATGCTGATTTACTGCTCAAGAAACATTTCTGATTATTATCAATGTTGAAAACAACTTTGGAGCAGATTTATCTGGTGAAGTCGTCTTTGAATAGCTGTCGGACATGTGTGGCCGGTCTGGTGTTTCTCTTGTGTTTCATTTAAAGGCTTTTAACAGAATCCTCTCTTGTGAAGCTCACGGTAGGATCAGTTAAAGCAGAGAGACTGCTGGAAACAACCCTTTCCCATCATTCTCTGTAGTTCAGCAAACCCTGTAGTTCTCATCTTCTCTCTTGTCAAATGTTGGCCGTCTCTCTCTCTCTCAGCTTTAACTGATCTTAAGTGAGTTCAGGTGAGATTATGAACAATTAAATATGTATTTTTTTTATTATTTAAGTTTTTATTTTTTTTTCATAACTATTTATTTTTATATATTTATTTATTTGTTTTTCAGTTTTTATTTATGTTTGTTATATTTAGTTTTGTTTTTTTAATTCCTTTTATTGAGCAAATAAGCATTTTATGATTATTTTAGTATTATGCCACTTGGTGCACTTTTAAAACATTCAAAACCATATTACAGTATATATCATATTAAAATTCTAATTCATAATTTAAAAGAAGTTAATACTTAAAATATATTGTTCAAACGTTTGGGGTCAGTAATGATTTTTGAAGAAAGTAATACTTTTCTTCAGCAAGGATGAATTAAACTGATGAAAAGTGACAGTGAAGACATTTCTAATGTTAAAAAATATTTTTATTTCAAGTAAATTCTGTTCTTTTAAACTTTCTATTCATCAAAGAATTCTGAAAAACAAAATGTATCACTTTTTTCCACAAAGCATGAAGCAGCAGAACTGTTTTCAACATTGATAATAATCAGAAATGTTTCTTGAGCAGCAAATCAGCATATTATACTGATTTCTGAAGATCATGTGACACTGAAGACTGGAGTAATGATGCTGAAAATTCAGCTGCGCATCACAGAAATAAATTACATTTTACTATATATTCCCATACAAAACACTTATTTTAAATTTTAATACTATTTCGCAATGTTGACTGTATATTTGATCAAATAAATGCAGCCTTGCTGAGCAGAAGAGACTTATTACCGACCCCAGACTTCTGAATGGTATTGTACGCACATGAAAACCCTTCCCAGAATGCAGTGGTGTGTGAGATGTTCTAAGCTGTGGGTTCACTAATGTAGGAGTCGGGTCTGAAGGTGAATCAGCCGGCATCATTTGCAGTGCGTCTGAACGGAGCAAAAGGCCACATGGATGCTAAAGTTCACAGTCCGTCCGGAGCCCTGGAGGAGTGTGTGGTGTCTGAGCTAGAGCAAGGTCAGAGCTCTTTAACAACTGTTCCAACTAGATCTGATGCATTAGATCATTTTCTGTCAGAACTACAAAAAGAAAGGACTTCATTACATGTTAAAATAGGTGTTTTTGAATCATGAAACCACATTCACAACCCAGTTTACCTCCATAAAATGATACGTTTCACTCGGAAATATCTCGTTATGGATGTAGAGGTGTATGTTAAATCAGATTCGCAACCCATTATATTTACTACAAGCATCTTGTCACCCAACAAACTTAAATATAAAAAATATACATTTAAATATAGAAAATATATTAAATATCAACTTAAATATTAACTTTACAAACTTCTGTATTAAAAATGTTAACTATATAATCTTAAATACAGAAATTATGAAATATAGAAACTTAAATATAGACAATACAATAGACACATAATGTATGAACCTAAAAATATGAACATTTACTAACCTATATAAATAGCAAATATATAAACTTCAATATTAATTATATAAAATTCAACATGTTAAATTTAAGAAAACGTATTAATTAGCAATGCTATAATCTGGTTTGTTTACTTTTTGTGTTTCATACTAATGTGTATTAACATGCATTGTCCCTATTAAATAAATGTAAATATTGAAAATGTCATGTATAAATTTAAAATGCAGAAAATGTTAAATAGTAAGTGCATAAATTTCAATATTATATTGAATATTACACATAAACTTAAATATTAAAGTTCAATGTTACAATTATAAAATATATAAACTTAAATATAGAAAATATTTAATAATTAAATATACATTTTCATTAAAATTACAAACTTCAGTATTGACAGAATTTACAAACTTAAAATATTAAATGAATAAACTTAAATATTAAATCCATTAAATAATAAATATATGAACTTAATAAAAATAAACAAATAATAAAAATAATAAATAATAAAAACAAACTTCAACATTAAGAATATTGAATATATAAACTTTTTTATATATATATATATATATATATGATGTTCAGTATTGCAAATATTAAATATATAAAAGTAAATATAGGAAATATAAACCTCTCATATGAACGGAGTTCTTGATTGGCATGTTGTCGTTTGTGTCAATAGTTGTGCTCTTGTTCATGTTTTAGCTCTCTGGTTCATTTACTCTGTTCTCCAGACAAGTACGCCATCCGTTTCATCCCTCGAGAGAACGGCATCCACGACATCGACGTGAAGTTTAACGGGACGCACATTCCGGGCAGTCCGTTCCAGGTGCGTGTGGGAGAACCGGGACAGAGCGGGGATGCTGGACTCGTCACAGCTTACGGCCCCGGTCTGGAAAGAGGAAGCACAGGTGACACACATCGCTCACTGAGCTTTCCCCGTGCGCCGTCAGTCCGTGTTTCCCACTCTGTGAATACTGATTGCTCCATGTTTCTTTTGACTTGGCGTGTGGAGAGGAAGTCGGGTCGTTACGCACTCACGCTGAACACACTTATTTGCCTTGTCCAAATACCCACACTTGTGGTCTTTGCACTTGACTACTTCTATGACGTATTTCCTGTATTTGGCCCAAGTGTTCAAGTGAGCATGAAGTCCACAAGTGTGTGTACAGCTTTTTATCACCTGATGGGACACACTTATAGTGTTGTAAAAATGCAAGTGTTTACAGAGCTTTATTTTTATTTTCAATACTTTGCATTTTAAAATCAACTTCTAAATGTCTGTTCAGTAGTCCCTATAACAGATGACAATTTAATTTTGTGGTGCTTCTAATTAAGTGATAATTATTTTGTACAACATTTGCAACTGCTTTTTATCACCACTACTCATCTTTGCACCAATAAAACGTGCAACTCTTTGTTTTACTACCAAATTATATGTAATATCTAATTATTATTTATATTTCACATACATTGGAAAGGTTTCCGTGACCTCTCGCGAGATTTCGGCAAAAAGTCTCTCGATTTATTTCCAGAACATGATGCATGATGGGATACACTAAGCCTCGAATAGCGCTCCGGAGCGGTATTCAAGATGGTGTGCGTTAAGGGCACTGCGCTCTGGTGTTTTTAAAGTCCCCATGAAATCAAAATTAACGTTTTTTGGGTGTTAGTATCAATATGTTAGTCTTAAGGTTATCTATAAGGCAGTGTGCTCCAAAACAGTGACAACATTTGCATTTAGAAGATATAAGCATTCAAAGCTTGCAGTTCGTCACTTCTGCCAAAACGGCTCAACGATTTTTTTGACGTCACATCGTACTTCAGCTTCTCATCAAACTTTCTGTCCAATCAAATGCTCTCTAGAATCTGAAGCCCCGCCCCCTACACTATAAAATAGACGCTGAAGCCACGGCTGAAATCGGTCACTTGTCCACAGAATTTTTATTTTCTGTTCAGTGAATGGCACGTAGTGCACTATATAGGGGACAGGGAACGATTCAAACAGTGTAAATATGCTTTCCATTGAGGAAAAAAAGAAGTCTGGTTTCGCGCTGTGTCACGCTAACCACCGCACCGCACACACACTCTGCTCCGGTCCAGAGACACGATAGCACGGAGCGGATCACATGCGCAGACCACAAAATATATCGGAGCTATTTGAATTCTACACAGAATGCTATATTTTATAGCAATATGGATGAGATTGTGGCTGGCATACCCTGTTAAATGCGGCTTTACGGAGCTCAACGGCTCTGAACCGCTCTAGCCCAAGCTGTGATATAAACGAACGCTATTGGCTATTTTAAAAAGGGGTGGGGCTGCTTGATATGTCCCGCCCTGTCTTCCTGTTTCAGTTAAAATGACGTCAACACATAGAGTAATGCTGCGTGTTTCTAAGCATTTCAGGGGACCTTTAAGATCTGGGACAGTCTTGTGCACTTACTTCCCGTCACACGCACGCGCTCTCAAGTGGCCAAGACCACAAGTGTGGGTATTTGGACAAGGCAAATGTTTCAGCAGAATGATTTAAACAGAAGGATCTTGGATTACCGAAGATATTTCTCATGGATCACATCCAGAACAAATCTACAGTGGGTACGGAAAGTATTCAGACCCCCTTAAATTTTTCACTCTTTGTTATATTGCAGCCATTTGCTAAAATCATTTAAGTTAATTTTTTTCCTCATTAATGTACACACAGCACCCCATATTGACAGAAAAACACAGAATTGTTGACATTTTTGCAGATTTATTAAAAAAGAAAAACTGAAATATCACATGGTCCTAAGTATTCAGACCCTTTGCTGTGACACTCATATATTTAACTCAGGGGCTGTCCATTTCTTCTGATCAGCCTTGAGATGGTTCTACACCTTCATGTGAGTCCAGCTGTGTTTGATTATACTGATTGGACTTGATTAGGAAAACCACACACCTGTCTATATAAGACCTTACAGCTCACAGTGCATGTCACAGCAAATGAGAATCATGAGGTCAAAGGAACTGCCTGAAGAGCTCAGAGACAGAATTGTGGCAAGGCACAGATCTGGCCAAGGTTAAAAAAAAAATTCTGCTGCACTTAAGGTCCCTAAGAGCACAGTGGCCTCCATAATCCTTAAATGGAAGACGTTTGGGACAACCAGAACCCTTCCTAGAGCTGGCAACCTATCAACCACTTAGCAAGAGACTAGCAAGTGCATAGCAACACACTTAAAAATACATACGGAACAACTTAGTAATCTGCATAGCAATGTTCTATAACAACCCAGAACCAAAGCCAAAACCCTAGCAACCACACAGCATATCAGCACCTTAGCAGCCACAAAACAACATACTAAAATCAACTGCATTGTAATGGCATATTAACCAACAAAAACAATCAAGAAACTACATAGCATCAGCCTAGAAACCACATAGCAACATGATAAAAACAACTGCATTGCAATGGCATATTAACCACCCAAAACAATCTAGCAACTACCAATTTAACAACTACATGGCAACACCTTAGCAACCACACAGCAATAGTCTAAAAATTTCAGAACACCTTAAGTGAATAGAAATGGCTTATTAGTCCAACCAAAAGCACCATAGCAACATCTACAAACCATGCCCGCCCCCTACACTATAAAATAGACGCTGAAGCCGCGGCTGAAATCGGTCACTTGTCCACAGAATTAGTATTTTCTGTACAGTGAATGGCACGTAGTGCACTATATAGGGGACAGGGAACGATTCAAACAGTGTAAATATGCTTTCCATTGAGGAAAAAAAGAAGTCTGGTTTGGCGCTGTGTCACGCTAACCACCGCACCGCACACACACTCTGCTCCGGTCCAGAGACACGATAGCACGGAGCGGATCACATGCGCAGACCACAAAATATATCGGAGCTATTTGAATTCTACACAGAATGCTATATTTTATAGCAATATGGATGAGATTGTGGCTGGCATACCCTGTTAAATGCGGCTTTACGGAGCTCAACGGCTCTGAACCGCTCTAGCCCAAGCTGTGATATAAACGAACGCTATTGGCTATTTTAAAAAGGGGTGGGGCTGCTTGATATGTCCCGCCCTGTCTTCCTGTTTCAGTTAAAATGACGTCAACACATAGAGTAATGCTGCGTGTTTCTAAGCATTTCAGGGGACCTTTAAGATCTGGGACAGTCTTGTGCACTTACTTCCCGTCACACGCACGCGCTCTCAAGTGGCCAAGACCACAAGTGTGGGTATTTGGACAAGGCAAATGTTTCAGCAGAATGATTTAAACAGAAGGATCTTGGATTACCGAAGATATTTCTCATGGATCACATCCAGAACAAATCTACAGTGGGTACGGAAAGTATTCAGACCCCCTTAAATTTTTCACTCTTTGTTATATTGCAGCCATTTGCTAAAATCATTTAAGTATTTTTTTTTCCTCATTAATGTACACACAGCACCCCATATTGACAGAAAAACACAGAATTGTTGACATTTTTGCAGATTTATTAAAAAAGAAAAACTGAAATATCACATGGTCCTAAGTATTCAGACCCTTTGCTGTGACACTCATATATTTAACTCAGGGGCTGTCCATTTCTTCTGATCATCCTTGAGATGGTTCTACACCTTCATTTGAGTCCAGCTGTGTTTGATTATACTGATTGGACTTGATTAGGAAAGCCACACACCTGTCTATATAAGACCTTACAGCTCACAGTGCATGTCAGAGCAAATGAGAATCATGAGGTCAAAAGGAACTGCCTGAAGAGCTCAGAGACAGAATTGTGGCAAGGCACAGAAAATTTCTGCTGAACTTAAGGTTCCTAAGAGCACAGT